GTATAAATAAGCATTTCATAAATAAGCATTTCATTCAAACACAACCATTCCGATACACGATTCCAATCCGGTACACATTGTCCCATTGCCAATAACTGTCACTAGGAAATACGTTATTCAAGCAATGACCATTTTTGATGTTGGGTACATTAGTCTCTCTGAGCATCCATAAACATTTTGATCTGGTAATACTCTCTCCGATCATAATCACCTTGCATGGTAGCCAATTGCACGTCGTGATCCGCCCACTCTTTCTCCAATAACAACGACCTTTTGTAGTAGTCGCTTCAAGCACAAACATTGCGATCTGGAGTGGCAACTATCACATATATGTGCTCCCTGTCGTGGTCTATATCAATATCTGTAAACATGCAAATTTACTTGGACTCTATTGCAATCTTTCTTACAAAATGTACTGACCCATAGACTGCACTATTATTCCGTTTGTAACGACGCTGCATACGATTGGTTCTCGTTATTTGCTCCGGGTACGCCAAAGAAGCACAGTGCGAGGATGCTGCCACACGAGAGGCTTGTGATGCATCATCATGCTGGTCAAACGCTTCAGCTTGCGCTCTCAAACTCGCGATCGCCACAAATCATACGTTGCAACCGCTTCCAATACGCAGTGGGGTAGTTGTTCCAAGCTGAGTGCATGCAATCCAATGGATACAATTACCCCAGAAAGCCACAAACCTCATTTGCCGCAAGTATTCGGGTGAGACCTTCATCAATAGGTCTGCGCAGGTACGGTAGGTTTTGACTATGGTATTCCTATCTGTGCAAACTAGCTCTGATTCTCCCCTGTGCAAAAGTCTGCGTTTGCAAGGTCGCGTGCAGACATCCGACATGTTCCCGGTGCATCTCACAAGCTGCTTACAAAATGTATTGTTTCTGCCGTTGCAATCGTCGCTGCACACGAAATATCTCCAGCTCTCCTCCGCACAAAAGTTTGCATTTGTACCGTTATAAATACTCCCATCATACGTCGAACATGTTCATGATGCAACTCACACAGTCGGTACACTCATGAAGGCGGCACACTTCACGCAATCGGCACACTCACACAATCCGATACACCCACCTCACACACCATCTTGGCTATATTATCTGAGACTGGATGCACTCATCCAAACTGATGGGCAAATGGACGATCTTATCAAGGTTTTATGCTTCTCGGACATGGAATTACGTTCCTCTAGATTTGTTATGCTTATCGGACACGGAGCTAGAGCATTTACCCCGGTAGTCGCAATCGGGTGGTCATCCCATTCGTATTCGTACATGTAATGATAGAAAGGTGACATCGCACGACCCAGGCTTGCACGCTTTCCCCATCATACGATTCAACACTTTAGAAGACGTAGCGAGGACCTCATCCTGAAAGCCTCACTGAGTCGCTGAATACTAGTCCTTGAATCAGTGATGGAACATCTAATGGACAAGATGAATTAGACAGCGTCCTATTAGTGGGCGCTGGTCAGGAAGGACACAGCCGGGAAGCCCACGCTCCACTCCCGATTTGAGGATTCTGTGACAGTGTCCGATATAGGGACATGCAGCTCAAAAGGACGAGACAGGAATGTCAGCAGGGGGTGAGATCAGAGTCCCCGAGCCCGAACCGACAAGTTCTATGTTAGCTCGAAATCCAGCCAGACACTACGGCGATCACACGCGAGAGATAAACGGTCACTAGTCCTAATCCCGGAGCACCCTATCGCGCACACTGCAGCTGG